TAAAATGGGGAAAATAAGAACAGTGCAATGTTACATCCCTCAGTGCTTTCTTCTGTGTTTTGCTGGGTAAACTTCACAGTCGCACACAGGCTAGGGCAGGATCTGTTCTCTGACTTGCCTATGAGGAAACTGAAGCTCGCATGTGTTCATTCACATGCCCAACATGACCCCCATAGTAAATGCAGAGAGACAGAGTCATTTGACTCTGAATTCCATAACCTTTTCACCCATGCTGTGTGGAGATACCTGGTAATCTGTCAAGCATTTTGCGAATACAGTCATCCTTTGGTATCCAACGGGGATTGCTTCCAGGACCCCCTGTGGATACCAAAATCTGATGTTAATCCCTTATATAAAATGACATTTGCATATAACCTACGTGCAACCTTTCATGTACTTTAATCTCTAGATTACTCATACACAATGCAAATGCCATTAATATATAAAAATAATTATGTGGTATTAAAATTTGTATTGCTATATTGCTTTTATTGATTTATTTATAATAATTTTGATCTGTAATTGGATGAATCAATGGATGCAGAATGCGAGGGTACAGAGGGCCGTCTATCAGAGTTTAATGGGTGACTGCAGAGGTAAGGCTGTCTACAGTGAATTCATCCTGCTTTTCCAGAGGTCCTCAAATTTCCAACCATAGTTACAATATATGATCAGCGAATCTTCCTTTCTGTCATGAATTGAGAAAATGTCATGGTTATCTCGGTTTCTTTGTTCCCAGGGAAATGGGTAAGTTGCATGCTAGAAGCATCCCTTCTTGGTCTATTGTATTCTCTACGCTGCAATGTTTAAAACCCGTCTGAGTACCGAAAGACTCTTGTTTTCACCAACACTGAAAAATCATTTATTTGCATTGGAAGACCCTGAATAGACATGGGTAAATGTCAGTTGAGATTTTATGGTTTGGGGATTAAATAGCTCTTCGTCTTTAAAAAAATTTTTTTATTTGTGCTATTGTTTAAATCATGAAGTTATGATTTTAAACGGCCATGCAAAGACCCTGAATAATTCATTTACTTACCTTAGTCAAAAAGAAAAATCCCTCCCTGTATGCCTAGCAATCGGGATAAAATTCCTCTTGATCCCTTTCTGTAGCTTTGAGGTTAAAATTAAGGGTGTTATTATGAACTCTAAATAAGAACTTGTGAAATAAATATTTTAAAGGTGCCCATTTCTGGGAGGCAGGCACCCATATTTCTGTGTATGCAGCCATGTAGACAGCTAGCTCTTTAGGCGTAATGGTTTAGTTGCATGTGGGTGATTATTTTCATTTCCACTTATTACTGTGTGCTAGACTCCCTGTGTATGAGTACAGATTGCCCTTTCTTGCACTGTATTTAGAAATCTCTGTATTACCCTTGGGCATTTGTTCATTAATAGGGGGTGGGGAAAGGAAAAGCTTGTAATAATGGGCTTTACATATTAAACTATGTGCATCCACATTCAGGCCAAATGGAAAATCTGGTTTGTATGACTGCCCTCTGCTGGCTGCAGGCCTTTGCTGCAGTGGCGGGCTGTGCGTCCCTGGGTGGAGCCGTGCAGATGCTGGCATCATTTTGCGTTCCATCCAAGTGTATCAGAAACAGCCTAAGATTCCACCTACTGCCCAGGTTGACGATGGAAGAACGCGTTCTTGTGAGGACCAAGGAGACATTTTCATTTTAGTATAAGTATAATAGAAGTATAGACACAAGATAATCCTGGCCAACATAGGGTGATGTTTGAATGAATAAATTCAAATTTCTCCAAGGGCCACACTCTTACTCATCTTTCAATGGCAGCAGGGGAACGTTTAGTGGCTCCCATATATGATGTTCAGACCCCTTGTGGAATGCAAGATGATTTTATAGTGTATCCAGGTGAATCTTTTAAATCTCAATTGTTTATAATATGTATTAGGAAAACTGCAGTGAGTGTTTGAAGCCCACGATTTCATGAAGGTGATGGCTGAGGTGAAGAGCAGGAAATGGTACCTACAGGCACAGCTGCATTCCTTGCAGGGATGCCTCTTCCGAGAATCTGTGGATGGAGAAAAACCCCAGGAAGGTCCCCGATGACTAGGGCAGCAGGGGCTCTGTACTTGCTTAGTTATGACCTTGGGTTGTTGACCTCTAAGCCTGGATTTTCTTTTTGTTAAACAGGATAATAGTGGCTACTTCTTAGGCAGTTATAAGGATGATACAGTGTATATGTAAAGTGTCTGTCACAGAACAGGGGCCTGGTCAAGGCCAGATTCTTCCTTTTCAGCTCCCCACCCTCCAGGACACTTCTCAGAGCCCGCCCCCCTCCACGTTCGCATCATGCTTGCCTGGCAACTCATTTCATCTGACCCTTTATGAGACTTTCCACGTTTCTTCTTGCCCTGGATGTGGAGTGGGACCCTCCCTTGCTTTGCATCTTTGGCAGTATTCCACGAGTACTTCACACCAGGCAGGCACTCTGTGAACGTTGGGTGAATTAAACCCAAGTGCAAAATACTTGAAAGCAGCGTTTTCCCATCCTTCAACACATTCAAAGAATTTCACCTATCAGATTAGGACAGGGCCTATACGTTTTTCCTCTCCCCTACCCCATTCCTGTGGTCTGATAACAGCAACAGCATTGAGTTCCCGCCCATTGGCTGCAGGCCGGGAGGAAAAAAGGCCCCAGTGCCTACTTCCTGCCTTCCTGCCTGCGTTAATATCACATCTTATCTTACCAACTAATATATAGGGGTGTGTGCGCGCGCATATATATATGCACACATATATATTCGTGGAAAAGAAAGGGATGCCAGCAGAAACATTTTAAACACAGCATTTCAGCTAGGGTAGGGGCTATTTTAAAGACAACAAAAGGGTCTTTGTTGTTCTGGCAGGTAGATGGATAAGCCTGGCCCTGGTTCAGCTTCTATAAAGCGGCTCCGGAATGATAGGATCAGAGAAACTACCAGGAGGGGGAGGGGGCGCAAGGGCCCTTTCATTTCTCGGCACCAAGAGTGAAGCAGGGTTTGCTGTTTCCTGCAGGGGCAGTGCGTTTGCCTTTCAAATTCCCGTCGATTGTGTTGCAGCCCCGCGTGGTCCCGAGCTCCCCGGCCCGCTCCTGCACGGCTGTGGGACGCCCGCTTGCACTTCCACCACCGAGGCGATGTTCATTTAAGGCTTCCAGAGATCAGAGCTTTCATGTTTGCCACGAAAGCCAGAGAGTCAGGAGCACCTTGGGAGCGGAGATGAAAGGCCATTTGTGTTTGTGCATGTGTATTTAGCGCTTAAAGGGCAGGAGAAAGAAAGAAAATAGATGGTCCCGCTTTGCACTTACTTCAAAATGTGCCTTACTCCCTCTGGTGGGACCATTTAACTCCAGCGCGCCGCCCCTCCCCCGCGCTCGCCGCCCCCATCCGCCACCCACCCCCAACACCCGGCCCACGTGACGGCTGTTCAGGCCCCTCGGAGCCTTCTTCCCGTTTCCAAGGCAGCCGGCACGGCGAGCCTGCCCATTGGCTGCTAGAGGGGAGGAAGAAAAGGCTCTCGTGTCCCGGGTCTCGTGCCCCACGCCCCAGCCCCATGCCGGCAGAGACCCGGTCACAGTCACAGGGCGGGCCGGGCACAGGGACCGCCCCCCCCCCCCCCCCCCGCCCCCCCCCCCCCCCCCCCCCCGCACCGCGTGCCCCACCCAGCCGCCCAGATCAGGCCAGGGTCAATGTCATCAGCTTCTCCCTGGAGTATGATGAGGGTGAAGGACAAAAGCAGGGCACGTAAGGGAAAGTGGGCCACCTTTTCCTTCACCCTGAACACCTGCTAGCTCTGTTTTGTTTGTAGTGTTTGGATTTGAAATCCGGCCCTTGTGACCCTTTCTTCTCACAGACAGTGCACGTGAGGCCTGGGCCCGAGTTTGGCTGTCAGATTCCATTTACCTTGGCCGTGTCCCGTGGCTCCAAAGCTGCGAGGACAGTACTCCATTGCGACGTCTACACCCGAGCCTGATTGCTTTGAAAATCACCTTCCTCTTGCTGGGTTCATCGCTGAACTCGGGAGACAATTGGAATCACCATGTGGCCTCAGAGCTGCAGGTGACCCTTGTCCTGACCCCATGGCCTAGTGAACCCATGACCCCAGCGCCTGATCTTGCACTTGGCCAGACAGGTGTGGAGAAGCCTCAGTGGAACTGAAGCTACCTGCCTCAGGCTCCCTTTGGCTGGGGAGTTGGGGTCCCTGCTGATGAGTGAGAATCAGCCATACCCAGAGCCTCCAATCCGCAAAGCTAGGACACCCACTGGAATTTGGCTGTGGATGGTCAGCTGCCCCCACCCCTCAACATAGGACCAGTCAGCAGACTTGGGGGTACAGAAAGAACTTTCACAAACATTCTCTCCTCTGCTTCTCATAGGGAAACTGTGAGGCTGTCACTCGAATCCCTGCCTTCCCTAAGAAGAAGCTGGTAGCTAGAGACAACAGGATATGTACATGGGGGAGCCTGGGATGCACTCTCCGGCTCTCTGCTTCCAAGCTCTCTGCCCGCTCATATCCAAAGCTCTGTGCATGCTTATCCCATTCTGTCACTGGGCCAAGTAGATTCCCTCTGGACATGTCACACCCTCACTGATTTATAAATAGGGAATGGGCTCTGGGAGGACGATCGCTCCTCCCTTTCTCCTCATTTCTTATCTTGCCAATATTACATTAAAAGAATGTGTCACTGGTGTTTAATTTGTCAAGATGAGGGGCGAATGGTTGAGGATTTTTTGTGGTTCCTTCTGGTGGCAGAAACACATTTGCAAACACAAAATCTTTTAATAAAATAGCAAGATTTAGTAGGAAAGAAAAATAGTGTGAGAAAAAAAAAGACCTGGGTTGAGGGTTATTATTCTGCCAGAGACACTTGGTTGACTTAAACACTAATATATTATTTTCACACATATTCACACAAGGGGTGCTGTGTGGTTTCAGGAATCCACAGAGCTTCACACCCAAGCACTTGTGATAGAAAAAAAAAATTTTTAATCCTTTTTTTTTTTACATTTTCATTTCTGTTTGGCTTCTTTACAGAATCATCAGTGAAAATTGCTGTATGGTTATTTTTCCCTCTTGTGTTACAGACCAAACTCAACATCTAATGTAGAGTGGAATAAGTGAGGGGAAGAGACAATATTGGGCAAACTGGTGAAATTATGCTCTTGTTTGAAAGAGTAGCCATTACTGGGATTCAGCTTTTTGTTGCTCCGTGTAGCCTTTTGATTTAGGTCCCAGAGTTGTAACTTACATGACTACAAGTCTGTATTTATTCATACATTAGAGATAGGCTATTTTTACCATTGTGTGTGTGTGTGTATACACGTTTGCTTGAAATCAGTGAATTTGGCAGTTGAAGGCCCTTTATAAGCAGTTGTCTAGACCCAACATTTGCTGCAGACACAGTCTGAAGCAAAATGGGAATTAACGTCTTTATAAAGACAGTTGTAGAAATTCTAATCCAGTGAATCATTTCCTTTCTCTGGTAGCAGGGCTGAGTCCTACCTGGCTGCAAGGCCGCCATTCGCCCATTTAGCCCAGAAAACAACAGTAGAGACCACCAGAGATAAGACCAGCTAATCCATGCCTTGTAATGGGACAGGTTTCACAATGCACATCACCTGTCTGCAAAGGCAAACTCACAACCCCCTCGTGAGGCATGTGCACAGTCAAATGGGGTCACTGCTGTTGCTGAGCCTGTGCCACCTTTAAGATGTGTCCGAAAAGACTGTGTGCTACTAGGCCACAGAAGGCAGCATTAAGTCCGATGCACATCGATCCATGTTCAAGCAGATTCCTCTCTGCCTCTGGAAGTTGGTGAATTTTTCTGATCATGATGTTGAATATTGTTACATTTTCCTTGATAGTATCCTCCGGTGAATGATTTTTCATCTTGAACTTTGTACTCCCCCTCTCTCGGCAGCTGCTGCATCCCTGGTCCTCCTCAGCCATGCCAGGGCTCACTGCAGTCTCCTCTGCTCAACTCGCCCGGGTGCAGTCATCTTCAAGAAAACGTTATTAAAGTGTTATTAGTATGCAGCAAGGTGCCTTCTTGCTGCTAAATCAGTGTGTAAAGTGGTCCTCACAAATGCGCACATTCTTTGTTATGACAGCAGGGCTTCCTGTTTCTGATGCAAGACTGATAGGATGTGGAAACAGGGAGGTGAACTAGGTGGCCCAGGAAAGCAGGGGTTAGGGGAGTTGACAGAAGATATGAGAAATGAACCTAAGGGATGATCAAAGAGCAGCAGAAGAAAAAAATATCCTTCGGTGGGAGAAAAAGTCAAATAAGGATGAGTGAGGAATTAGGCAGGAGTAGGAAAGAAAACTGTGAACCATTGTGCACACGGTGTGTGGAAGAAGAACCTACAAAAGTAGACCCCCAGGAAAGAAATACTAGCAGAAGGTGAAAGGTGGGCAAGGATCATTGTGTTCTTTATGTTGAGTGAAATAAGGCAGGCACAGAAAGACAAATAGCACATGATCTCACTTATATGTGGAATCTAAAGAAGTTGAAATCCTAAAGCAAGGATAGAAAGGCCAGAGGCCAGGGTGGAATGGGGAAGGGAGGGGGAGTTGTTGATCAAAAGGTGCAGAGTTTCAGATCCACAGGAAGAATAGGGTTTGAGAGCTATTGCACAGCAGGGTGACTGTAGTTAATAATGTAGTGTATATTTCAGAATAACTAAGCACATTTAAAATGTCTCACCATAAAAAATGATAAGGTAAGTGAGGGAATGGATGTGTTAACCGGCTTGATGTGATTATTCTTCGTTGTATGCATATATTAAAACATCACATTGGACCCCATAAAGGTATACAGTTATCATTTGTCAATCAAAAATGATAATATAAAATTTAAAGAACAATTATATAGAAGGAAAAGCTATTTTAGGATTGAGAAAATCCTGTGAAGAAGTCACACAGACAGAAACTGTCCAAGAAGTGTCTCCAGTGTCCTGAAAGTCCCTTTAATGGGCTTTTGTGGTGCTTTGGTGATTCATACAACTTCAAACAAGTAATTTCCTAACCTGCAAAATCGAGCTAGCAGCCCTCGCCCTGTTCACTCTCACTGGGGGTTTTTATGAGGCTCCAGGGAGCTGATATGCGGTCACAGGGTTTTCATCCAGGAAATGCTCCATAAGTGTAAGGTTTTGGCAGAATTGGGTTGTGGGGAGCAAGTGCCAGGGGTTTCCAGTCCTTGCCAAACTGCATTTTCTACCTGATGAAAGATCTGGCGTTTTATTCTTTTCCATTTTTTAATTCACTGGGGTTATTCCCTTATTCTTATGAACTGTGATAGCTTGATTGCAGAGATAAGTTGAGAGTGCCTGACAGATGCAAATTTTCATTATCTTCTCTCTGGCCCCGGCCCTTCCCAGCCCCTTGGCTTCCAAATGAAAACTGTAAGTCAGGGACACCAACTGGGCGATGGTGTTGGACTTGCAGTTTGTAAAACTCATTATCATCCCTTTCTTTGAGTATGGAGACAGCCCCTTCTATAACTTTTCTGGCTAAATAACTTTTCTTGAGAAGGCAACTCATTTTTGAAATTCGCTTGACTTTGTTTCATGGATTTCTATAATGTCTGATTCAGGTCCATATTGGACCTACTTTTGCAATGGATCTCTTTAGATGTCAACATATACAACACAAGTAAAATGAATTCAGTGTCTGTCCTGATCTTTGTGGTCAGGATTTTGGTGTTTGTTTTATTCCTCATAAAGTAAAGCGTTTCAATACAGGTTGTCTGATGACTCATGAGATGGAACATAGGGACCCTGTGTGGACTTCTACGCTGGTCTCCGGCCCTGACCCACACAGGCCCCTGCTCACCCTCTCCATAAGATCTTCATGGATTCTCAAGGCAGCCACACTGGCTGGCTTAGGTGTGTCTACAGTGGTAGAGCTATCAGCACTGCCATTTCCTGGCCTGTGTGTTGTGAGAATATGAGCGGTCAATAATGCTGTCACAGCTGGGACAGAGACAGCAAAGGGGAACAGGTGGCCACTCGAGACCACGGGGCCATAGCTGCCCATTCCTAGCAGAGCTTGGTGCCATTCTCAACTCTCCCAAGCTGACCCCAGGTGTCCGTACTTTTATGGGTTAATACAACCAGGGTGTTGAGCTAGATTTTGACAATCAAAAAAAAAATGTATCCCGATTCCACACACTGTGGCAAGCCTATGTGCCATCAAATTAGGAATTATCTATCTATGTATCTGAGACAATGTCTCACTCTGTCACCCAGGCTGGAGTGCAGTGGCACCATCTCGGCTCACTGCAACCTCCACCTCCTGGGTTTGAGGGATTCTCATGCCTCAGCCTCCTGAGTAGCTGGGATTGCAGGCATATTCCACCACGCCCACCTAATTTTTGTATTTTTGGTAGAGACAGAGTTTCATCATGTTGGCCAGACTTGTCTCGAATTCCAGGCCTCAAGTGATACACCTGCCTCAGCCTCCCAAAGTGCTGGGATTGCAGGCATGAGCCACCACACCCCTCCAGATTGGAAGTTATTATACCCACTTTCTATGGTTGTAAGGATAGCATGTTTTGATTCAGTTCAAAAGGTATTTACCAAGTACCTCCATATTAGAGGGAGGGGACATGGAAACAACTTGTATGCAGAATTCAAACCTACAAAGGCGTCAGCAAAGAGCGTCTCACATCAGCTTCTCTGTTCACTTGGTCCCCACTTGTCTTCACAGAAAGAACAATTCTTGTGTGGTAATCAAAATGGGATTTCTTGGAGAAAAAAGATGGCCCTGATAAGAAAGCCAACAAATACGTTGATGTGGAAACAGCCTCCAACATGAAGCAAGATTTCCAACTGATCAGATCCTTAATTTAGATGCCAAGGGAGAGAGTGACTGTAGGCTCTGTGGATTCCAGAGCCCCATCCAGACCTACTGAATTGGGGTCCTTCAGGGTGGGGCCAGGAAATGTGAAATGTTTAAAACTCCTGTATTAGGTCATTCTTGCATTGCCGTAAATACCCAAGGCTGAGTAATTAATAAAGAAAAGAGGTTTAATTGGCTCATGGTTCTGCAGGCTTTACAGAAAGCGTGGTGCTGTCATCTGCTTGGCTTCTAGGAAGGCCTCAGGAAGCTTCTAATTGTGGAGGAAGGCGAAGGGAGAACAAGCACATCACATGGTGAAAGCAGGGGCAAGGGAGACAGAGTTGGGGGGGGCGTCACACATTTTTGAAAGACCAGATATCATGTGCACTTAGAGTGACAGCTGACTTACCACCAAAGAGCGGCCCAAGCCTTTCATGAAGGATCTGCCTTCATGATCTAAATACCTTCCACTAGGCCCCACCTCCAGCATTGGAGATTACATTTCAAAATGAGAGCTGGGCAGGGACATATATTTAAACCATATCAACTCTTCACGTGATTTTTATACAGAGCTAGGCTTGGACATCTCAAGGTAGTAGACTAGTACTTAGTCTTGGGCATCAGACAGACTTAGGTACCTGTTTGAACCTGGATAAGTAACTTAACCTCTCAGCCTGTTTCCTAATCTGTAAAATGGATCTAATCATGTGAACCTCAGAGGCTGATGGTGTGGCGTAAGCGAGATGACATGTGCCAAGCTCCTGACTTGTAGTGTTCTATCCGCAGCTTTGTCCGCAGTGGGCATGAATGGGCAGATAACTTGCCCAAGAGATGTGAACATGAGACAGTCAGCTGTTGATGAGGAAGGCATGGCTCTGGACAGTGCCAGCTAGGATACATCTAGAACTCTGTTTTCCATCAATGCATTTCCTCCCCTGACATAAGCTATGCCTCTTGTGTGGTAGGCTCTCAGCCCAGGGTTAGATGCTTGAGGGAAGCTTAACCATGAAGTCCTCATCTAGGAGCGTTTTCCCACAGCCATCTAAGCTGTGTGTGTCAGCTGGGTTCGAGGAGTTAAAAATGTCTGCTTAGTAATCAGCTGTGCAAAAGCAACACTTTTGATTCTTAAGTTCTGTTCTCCAGTGTGTTGAGATTGTTCAGCTCTTTTGTTTCCATGGCTCTTGCAGGCATGGCCTTGGACAGCAGTTCTCAGACTTTTTGGCCTCAGGACGTCTTTACACAAAAACATTACTGAGGACCCCAACAAACTTTTGTTCGATATTTACCAGATTAAAAATTAAAACTGAGACATTTTGAAAACCCAAGCACACATTCATTCCGTCAGCCACCAGAGTGACGATGTCATCACACTCCACGCAGCTTCCCAAAAAACTTCACCTGCACTCATGAGAGCATAAGAGTGAACAGGGAAATAGATCTTGGCGTGATGATAAGAAAAATTTTGACCTTGTGGATCCTGGAAAAGATTCTGGAGGCGCCCAGGGCCTCTGATCCACACTGAAATGCTGATCTTGATTGCACAGGTTACCCCACCCTGTTTGTCTGCCCCACAGAGAAGCGTAGAAGTCAAAGCTGAGGCAGTTGTATCACGAGAAGCACAGCTGGAGCAGGGTCTTAGGGAAGGCCCCCGAGCCCTGCCCACTTCCCTGGTCTTAGAGACCAGAGAGGTGAAGCAATGCTCCCAAGCTCACACAGCGTGGGTGCCAAGCCCAGTTGATAACCCAGAGCTTCTGCCCACTGGGCTTGCCCCTGCATCTCAATTGAGTGGCTTAAGGATCAAGCTCAAGTGAAAGACAGCTTGTTTCCAATCCCAGCTCTGCCACTGTGTGACTTTGGGCAAGAGTCTTAACTTCTCTGGCCTGAACTTTCTCATACATAAAATGTGGAAAATAGCTGCTTCATAGGCTTGCTGAGAAAATTAAATGAGATAATGTATGAGAAGGAACTGGCATCTTCCATAAGCATTACACACACACACACACACACACACACACACACATTTTAGCTTCACAACTAATTCTTGGATACATTTGTAATATTATAGCAATCGTTACTTTTAGAAATCATGACCAGCTTTTCCATCTCTTGGTCTCAATTGTTTCTTTTCCCAACTTGCTCAGCGGCATGGCAGGGTGAAGGGATTCCAGTCTCCATGGTGAGAACGCCATCTCTATCTGCTTTCCCAACAGACTGAAGGCAGAGCTAAGATCGGATGTAATTAGTTTACATGTCAGACTCAACAATCCATACTGTATGTCATGCGGGAGTGATCAGTGTTTTCGAGGTGGAATTAAAGCTCATAATGAAGCAGCGAGTAGTATTATTACAGTTGAATAACCTGCAGCATGATGTATGATGATTAGAATTTGTTTCTGGCATATGGTTTTCTTTTTCTTCCCCCCATCCCCCCTCCACAAAGTGGAATGTCAGCTTTTGTAGCACTATCCATTTGCAAACTGCGTTCCCAAAGCACTCTTTAATTGTCTCCTAATACGTTCATGGGAGAGCTTAGTGAGGGTAGGTAACCCAGTTCTCCTTATTCAACAAATGTAAACGTAGCACTTTTCATCTGTAAAGGCAGTGGGAGGTGGGGTCCCTAGTGACCTGCACACACAAATCAGTAGATTCCTGCTGGAAAAATTTTAATATCATTAAAACATCATACATAAATTTGAAGACTTCACATGCAAAACAGCAACAAAACAAAAAATAACAAAAGACAGAGATTTTAAAATAATTTCTTGTAAATAACTAGTTTTATCTACCCAGCTAAATAATATAGCCCACTCTGTGGGCTCTGCCACCTCAGATCCTGTTCAGCCATATGTGGGTATCAATAATGAATGAATCAATTGATTCATCCTCAGTCTTGCTGAGTGTCTCTCTGGGAGATACCACTTGTGGCTCTTGTTTATCCAAAGAGCACTTTGAAGATAGAACATTCTGTGGTCCCAGATAGCAGCATCTTGCCTAGAACGGACACAGGATCCATATCTCTCAGCCACAGGACTGGAGATTCTCCCTCTTGCTAAGGAAGTTGCATGATTACCCAAAAGATACTGGCTTTGGGCTGAGAAGACCTGGATTCTCATGTTGTCCCTTGTACTAACAGAAGTGTGATCGAGGCTAGTGCCTTGATCTCTCTGGTCTTCCTTCACCCCATCTGTGCAGTGATCTCTCAGCAGCTGTCTACCTCTAATGGTGGCCTATGGAGTGATGGCTGATACCCTCCACCCTCAGGCATTCAAAGCCAGCCATTTCCAATTGTCTTGAGGGAAGGAGTATGTTGCATTGAATGAGGACCATTAAGGATCTGAATGAGCTAACTGCCATGAGTCTGAGTGACTCCAGAGCTTGATCTCATGTTTACATGTCAGGGATAGCTCAGTTCACCAACACATTCCCCATTACTGTATGAGGTGGTGTACAAGACCTCAGATTCACTCTGGGCCAGGGAACCACTGCAGTGGACATATTTATTCTTCCTTAGTGTGCCAGTTATCTATTGCAGCATAACACACTACCCCATCATGGTGGTTTAAGACAAGCATAATTATTCTCATGATTCTATGGGTTGGCTGCGTTGTTCTGATGATTTTGCCTGGACTCATACATGGGACAGCATTCGGTTGGTGAGTCACCTGGAGGGTGGGCTCAGTTGGGATGATCGGGTTGTCTGGACCTCTCTCTCTATTTCTGGACTTCTCTCTCTCTCTCTTTCCATGGCTTTTCCCCTTCAGGGTTAGGCTGGCGTGGGTTGGCTCTAGAGATGGTGACACGATGCTGAGCCCCAATTCCAAGTGCTTATCAAGCTCCTGCTTCCTCTGCTGATGTTTCTTGGCTAACACAAGTCACACGTTCAAGGCGAAGGTTAATGTGGGGATGGGGACTGCCCCTCTTAGTGTAGATACTAGGAGGTGTGATTTGTTGAGGCTGTCACTGTGATGGTCTTCCCTCCTTAGCCTCAGTTTCCATGGCGGGTAGATGGGAATAGGTTACCAAGTGTGCATGGAGGGCCAGCCTGTTGAGATGTTTTCCATGCTACATCCATTTCGATATGAGTATGTGATCATAGGATTCACATTCCTCATGAAAAAAGAAGTCTTGGGCCAAGTGATCCAAGGATCCACCATTATCACCCCCTAACATCAACACACACATACACAAACACACACACTCACACACACTCATTTCATCTCCTACACAATGTAAAAATCAAATATGTTTGGAAGAATCTTCAAAATGATAGAGGACTATATGAATGTGATGTATTATTACAAATAATTACGAAGAATTCTAATAAATATATTTTCAAAAAACTTATGCTAAACATCTCTATTACATATTGCACATTTAAAAATAGTTATGAGAAGCACCTTATTCAGGATCCATTTCTTTTCTGGTGTTTTAAGCTCACTCTAAAAAGTTTTGGCAAATCAGGATGTGTTAAAGGCACTAGGAAAAGACTAAAAGGTCAAGTCTACCTTTTGCTTGTAGCCTTTGTTCAAAATGGAGGCATTTCAGCTCACTCAAGTTATTTAGTCTAACCACTTGGCAACCTACTCTAACCACTTGGAAACCTACAACCTACATACAGAATCATAATTCAGCCATCCACTCCTCCCTTCTTAATGTTTTTGTTTATTTGCTTGGTTCATTGTGTTGCGGTTTGTATGTGTGTATATGTGAGGGCAGCTTGTGCAGTGACCTCTTGTGCATTGTTCCAAATTACAAAACTCCTTAAGGATACTCAGCCATCCTGGCCCTCTTTCCTCTTACATGCAGGCAAAGGCTAAGTGGCTTGGGGTCTTGGCCTCAATAAATGTAGTCTTATCCTCACCCATTCCTTTGTTTAGTCCCTTAACCTAGTCCTGAAAAGATGGGACTAAAGTTTCAGAATCAGCTCTCATCTCCGTGTGGATGACTTTGCACTTAGAATTCACTTCATAGTCCTGCTCATGGCTTATAAAGTCCTCCCTAATATGGCTGCTGGCTCCCCACTCTCCTGAGTGAAAACACCCTCCCCCACTCTGCAGACTGCTCACCCCATCATGCATCCACTGCACCCCAGCTTTCATGAATCACATGCTGATATGGAAATAAATGAAGACTGCCAAATGGAAACAAGGAAAGGCTCTTGAATCACAGCTTGCTGCAGCCAGAGAGCTGACCACTAGCACTTGCATTCAGCAGAGACTCAAGGGCAGGGAGAAGGGAGAGAAAGCTCCAGAGTGGAAAAGAGGGAAAGCTTCAAGTTGTCCTGATTGGAGGCTGTTGGCCTGGGAAGTTGCAGGTGGGCTAACAAGATATGGGGAATCTTGCGTAATAGGTTAGGGGTACATATTTGGCTTTCTTGAGTTATTCCTAGAATTGGAAGCCAGGACCAAAATTAGGGAAACTATAGGGAAGTTAATCAAGTCCTGGCCATTTGGGGGTGATTGCTAAAGGGCTTGTTATTTGGCTTCCTGGGCTGGTTGCTGCAAGTTGTGGGTCAAAGTCCTTTTTTTATATAGCCAGACTAGTGCCCATTTGTATGTTCAGCCTCTCACCATTCCCTCAACCGAAGGTGCTGCTGTTTCTCATTCCCTGTCTCCATAGACCCTCTTTCCACACTCCATGGTTCTGGCTGACGTGCCCTCTGATGCGTTTTCACAGCACCTGTGCTTTGATCACAACACCTTTATTTTAGTCATTACTGGTTCGTTTTCCCTTTTGGTCCAAATACTCCTTGAGGGCAGGGGTCCTGTCTTGTTCATCACTGTATCTTCCCTAGTCCCTTGGACTATGCCTGCTTCCAGTCAGCTTATAGTAAATGTTGTGTAAACAAATGGTTGATGAATACCAAATGCAGCCTGATAAACCTCCCTCTTTCTACCCTCTGGTCTGCATTTCTCCCTGCCTTATGGATATCTGCAAGTGGATATCCCACTTGCATCTCAAAATTAGCATGTCTAAAATCAAACTTCCCATCTTTCTCCCAAGCCATTCCTCCTTGTGATGCCCCCATTTTTAAAGTCTCACCATGTCCACAAATACCTACCTTGTCCCCTGCAGCCATCAGTGGGTCTCTGTCATCTTTATCTCTTCCATTTCTGTCCATTCCTTTTTATTCCCACCTCAGCCCTTGTTCTGGCTTAGACTCTGAACCTCAGCCTGCCGCCTGTCACTGAGTTCCAGTCTCAGTCACCCTCTCTAATCCATCCTCTACGCGATCCTGAAGTTCCACTTTGCTTATGCTTCTGTCTTGTTGAAAACCTTTCTGTGGCCTCACATGTCTCAGCCTAGCATTCAAGAGTTCTCAACCATGTGCTGTGAAATAATTTTGTCCACAGTGCTCATTACTCCTTGCCACGCACTTGACTTTTCCATCCAGCTGCCCTAGTTATCATTTCTAGGACGTGCCTTTTCCTCCTTCCTTTCTGCTGCCTTTTACCACCTCCGCAGCCTAAACAATGACTGAAAATTCCCTTGTCTCCAGGGGCAGTTATATATACTATGCTGTACTGTAGTGATCGATGCAGGTATTTTCTTTCTCTTCCTGAACTAAGCTCATTGAAACATGCACCCTAGCTGGTCTTTGCCATTTATAGAGTAGGCACACGGTAAATCTCTGTTGGATGAATGAATGATGCAGCTGGTCAGTACATCTAGAATAACCCATATTTTAGGATGGGTTCATCCTTAGATGGACTTGGGATTGATGAATTCATACCTGCAGTGAAGAATTTGCTTGTAAACTCTGAGACTATATAGACAGAGTAGCAGCGTACTTCTGTGTCTGAACCACCAATGTTTACTCAGTCTTCTTTCATGGTTCTAGTAAATTGCTTTGTATTCGAGTATGTGCCAAGGCCCTTTTCCCAGTAGGTTTTTTTCTTGAGGCCTGCACCAGCAGCATGGGCAAATGCCTATTTCCCAACTTATATTCAGAGATTATTGACTTTTCTTTCTTTCCATTTTTTAAAATGGAGTCTCACCCTGTCACCAGGCGGGAGTACAGTGGCACGATCTCAGCTCACTGCAACCTCCACCTCCCAGGTTCAGGTAACTCTCCTGCCTCAGCCTCCCAAGTAGCTGGAACTACAGGCATGCGCCACTTTGCCCACCTAATTTTTGTATTTTTAGTAGAGACAGGTTTCACCATGTTAGCCAGAATAGTCTCGATCTCTTGACCTCTTGATCCGCCCACCTCGGCTTCCCAAAGTGCTGGGATTACAGGCATGAGCCACTGTGCCTGGCCCTGGCTTTTCTTTAGTAGAATTTCAGTTCATACTACCAAGGCATCTAAAATATTTATCTCCTTACTCATTAAAAGTTGGCAGTTACACGTCACACTGGAAAGAGGGATAGGTTGACAGAATTGGGGACCAACAGGTAGCTGAGATCTGCAAGGTCTTGGCAGGAGAAGGCTTACTGGGGACAAGGCACATGGGAGTGCGTAACGATCTCAGAGACCAGCATGGTGGAAAGGAGGGAAGCGGCCGCCCCGCCGCTCACAGCATCTAAAAAAACCTGCCAGCTTGGTATTTTTGGTCCTTGGATTTACGTATCTGATGAAGATAAAACATGCAGAGAATGCCAGCCCCGTGTAGAACACCAGCCTGAGAGAATGGAATGAAAAGAATGCCGACACAATCTGAATAATCATATCTGGTACATCTATTCGTTCTAAAACATGATTAGATAATGCAAATTATACATGATAATCATAAATTAAAACAATTAGAAATAAAACAGAATACATTTGTTGTTTAAATTGCTGAAGTTTATATTTAGAAATTGCTTTGGGTAGTATCAACATTGACTCTGCCGGTGGATTCACCTTGGCTGTCATAGTTGCAAAGCAGCCATTTCAAATGGTTTTAATAACAATCTGCGCGTCGGATGCAGTGAACTGAGTTTCTGCTCCGCCATGCTGTTCCCCATTCTCTGTGGTTTCATCACCCTTGGCCTGCTCACATACCGTTCCCTTTGCCTAGAATATCTTTTCCTTTTTTATTCATTCTTTGGGATTTAATTAAAACCCTGACTTTTCTATGAGGCCACCCCACCTCCATTTGGTGTCGTTTTTCCCCTCTGATGCTGCGTAGCCCCCTGCACGGTTGCAAATGCGTACTCATGACCTTGTAACATCCCTTGAGCACAGGTCTCTGTTCCCCTCTGTGGGCATCCCCTGGCTCATGCCAGGAAGACCCTCCCTGAGCTGCTTTTGTGGCCACCTTCTCCTCTGTGCCTAGCACAGGGCCTGGCATGCCTTGATCAGAAAGCAATAAATATTTATTTAATGAAATGTTACTAACACAAGCTGGGGTCTTTCAGTTCTCAGAAAACTGCCATCTCTCTATTGCTGTTTTGGCCCCGCTAGCCCTGTGTCCTTGATGCCTGTGACCAGTCACTCCTGAGTTTTCTCTGTGAGGCTCACTGCTGCTAGCATGTTGGAGCCCAAAGGCATCAAGGGGCCTTCCCTTGTCACCTCCTTGTGTTACAGGCACACATTCCAGAGAGGTGAAGGCTTACTCAAGGTCGCAGGTTCCCTTCCAGCTGCCACTGAAGCTTGTAGCTTGGTTAAACAGGCCTCCGTAAGAAGAACTGATGGACTCTCCCAAGTCCAGCTACCTCAGATTGTATTTGAAACTTTCCATTCTCCAGCTAGGCCATTTGGGGCACTACTTTTTGTGTGAGATCATTAGCCACAATCCAGAGACCTACACATGGAATTTGATCTGCAGCCTTCTTTCCTTTCTGTAAAGTTTGAATTCTGATGCTTCTCACAAAGACGCCTGCTTTGCAGTTAGCTCCGGTCCCCACCGTCCATCCCCACAGTTACCACATCTTTGAGAAACTTCGTGTTTTATACTCACAGCGCTTCTCAGCTTGTAGTAGCTGTGTTCCAAATCTCTGGCCACTGTGTGCTGCCAGCGGTTAGAGTGCTGGACTGGACAGCGCCATCCGGATGCTTCTCACTTCACTCACTGACGGTTCTTGCTGGCTTCGGAAGGCATTTAGATCTGACACTGTGGATGAAAAGGCCCTGTAAAGCCCTTTCTACTCTGACATCCAGCGAATCAACTACTAAGGTGGATTTCAGAGTCCAGTGAGTCAGGACCACCATTGTTGTCTCACCGCATTGGAACTCACTGGTCATTAGCCATGTTTGAACTGGAACCACAAAATAGCTCTCAAATTTGCAGAGTCAGCTTTGCTGGGCTTCAGGCTGAGTGGGCTCATAGGGGATTGGCCCTCTATCTATAGCCTGGGCACAGTGGCTCCTTACCAAGGCCGATAGCCCTTGATGGTGTCAGCATGGAGCACACGAAGCCCCCAGCTGACTCCCACCTAGGCCTTGCGCCTCTCCCTTCACAGCAATGTGCCTTCCCTCTTCCACTTCCCAGGGTTACTTCAGACTGTCTCAGCCCTCTGTGCAGTCAGCTGTCAGGGAGAAGAAGTGGCAAGTCCAGGACAGAGGGCTTCCCACTGCCCCACCCTGCCTGTGGCATTCCTTAAGGTGACAAAGACTGTGTTTTTAAACCACCCTCCAAAACTCCTATTCCCCGTGAATTCTCTGCAGCTGCTCCAGAATTAACTGGAAAGAGAACGTTGGTTAAGCTGCCTACACAGCAGAAGCCTGTGAGTCAGGCGACGTCCTGCCAAGGGCAACCTGAGATGCTTCGTGGAAGCTTGTTCCTCAGTAGTGACATCTTGTCTCCACGCTCATCCGTTCAAGTGAAAACTCATCTGTTTCCCTCCCTCATGCTCATGTTTACCAAAAAGCATCATGTAATGAATGATGGTTGTTTTGGTCTGAAAGCGACTTTTATTTGTATCGATTATCTCTGTAAAAAGTGAAAGGTTTGGCCAGGTGTGGTGGCTCACACCTGTAATCCCACCACTTTGGGAGGCTGAGGTGGGTGGATCAAGAGGTAAGGAGTTCCAGGCCAGCTTGACCAACATGGTGAAACCCCGTCTCTACTAAAAATACAAAAATTAGACAGGCGTGATGGCGCATGCCTGTGATCCCAGCTACTCAGGAAGCTGAGGCAGGAGAATCGCTTGAACCCGGGAGGCAGAGGTTGCAGTGAGATGAGATTGAACCACTGCACTCCAGCCTGGTGATACAGCGAGACTCTGTCTCAAAAAAAAAAAAAAAAAAAAAGAAAGAAAGAAAACAGTGGAAGGTTTCTGTGAATGTCCGATATTTATCGAATATCTTTGTAGGAAGGATGTGAGATGATTAAACTACTTCCCCATTTAGACAGTGCCACCTGTAAGAAGACTCTTGGTGCAGGTTCGAAGATTGTTATCCACAGTGAGATGATCAGAAGGCAGTACTTCTCAAACTTTGATGTTCACCAGAGTCACCTGGGGATCTGGGTGAAATGCAGATTTGGATACAGCAGGTCCGGATGAACAAGGGCTGGTTTTCCTAATAAATTCCCAGGAGAGGTACAGGTTTTAAGGCCATAAGGTGCTTCTCTGGATCCTGGCTGTCCAGTGGTCACATTTAATGAGAAGAGAACCCGGTTGTGTGGTTGTTGACTGTTTTGAGGCTCGCACTGACTTAGAAAGTTCTGACTTTAATATTCTTTAGTCGAATCACTAAGATTTCTGTATAAAACAGCAGGCAATATGGGAGTTTGGAAAAGGGAGAAATGAGCTGGATGAAATAGCTTCCTAGTTCCTGATTCATCATTGGGCATCACCTATTTTGTGTGCTGGTGCCGATGAGCTAGAGAACACTCCGTGAACTGAGTTCTGCCGTTGCTGGATGAGATGGAGATGTTGTAGGGTTCAGTTCATGGAGTGAATTTTTCCTGAATCCTTAAATTATCATATATAAAGGCATGTAGCTAAGAAGAGATTACAGTAATATAGAAAAGACTGTGTGTGTGTGTGTGTGTGTGTGTGTGTGTGTGTGTGTGTATGTACCCTATATTTTTGCTGGTGTGTGAAAAAGAAAATCTAGTGTTTGGAAAGAGTTCTGCATTGTGCTTTGGGACTACAAGTTCGGCTTGGGGCAGTGCAGCAGAGCTGAGGAGGAGGCAGGGAGGACGGATTGAGGCCATCATCCCTGTGCAGCGTATTGGGTGTTGCTTTTACGTTGGTGAAAGGATGATCTGAGGAGCCGGCTTATCAATATGGAGAAGATTGCAGCTGCAATTTGCTGGTTAGTCTCTGTTCTTTTAACGCTTTCCTGAAGTGCCATTTTGTCTCGGTAAAATGCTCCCTAAAAATACTCAAATATTTTTAGTTGTAGAGTACAAATCAGATTGAGCTGCACATTTCCCTGGTGAGCAAAAGTGATGAGTTTGTGTTCATTAACTCGAGGCCATCTGGTGCAGACACGCTGCCGTCTGTGAATCAAACGTGCATCAAACTCCAGGGATCAGAAAGCGTGCCAGAGCCAGTGTTTTGGAGAGTCAACAACAACCGGGGGAGAAAGAGGCCCCGGCTATATTTTTCTTTTAAAAAATCGGCTCTGTCTTACAGCATATCAGAGCATCCTGCGCTGCCCAGCTGACGAGCCGGCTTGCCATCTCTGCATTGCCCATCTGAACTGCCTCTGGGGTGTGCTCTGAACTGTTTTTGAGGTGTGTCTCTGTTGTTGAAGTC